AATTTAAGTACAACGTGTCGAAAGGGAATAGTGTGGAATAAATTAGCAGGAATTTCGAAGGAGGTGATTACAATTGCTAGCAATAACGATCTACCAGTGTGAGTGGGAGTTGCAAATATACTTCTGCCACATTTTAGGATACATTTGGCAAACTTAAGTTTTTGGTGTACCAGGTAAGGTAGTGGAATAATACAATAAGTCCACAAAGTGAACTTGATCTCCTTTGTACTTATGTATGTATGCAGCTGAATGAGAATCCTGAACGTATTGTGGACGCTGCTGAAAATGCTCTACCAACTGCTATGGTGTTCGGCGCGACTACTCTCCCTGCTCTTTAATGTTTTTTGGTTTGCCTGCAATCTTGCCTCGGCCTGTATTCCCTGGATGACGTTAGTGCTGATGGTCGCTTGTGTGGCTTCTAAGTTCGCGAAGTTACGTAGCCCAGACGAAAAACGATGGCTTAGATTACTTGGCGGTTGCGCACCTGAAGAGCTAACTTATTGGCCTATAGCTAATCGCGGTGCGGGTTATGATGCGCCCGAAAACTCCAGAGCAGCAATCAAAAAGGTACATAATTAAAATGAAAAAATGTACATCACCTAACCTGAATATGAAAAATCAATATAACCGGCTTATATCCTCTGATACTTTGTGCACACGAATGCATTAATTAATAGCATATTTATAACTTTCTATGTATTCCAGTGTTTGGCACGTGGCTATCGAAATATACTGCTGGAGGCCGGTTTGACAGCGTGTGGTGAAATAGTGATAGTAAATCGTACTACTCTAGAACGAGCCGGTTTGATGGGTGGTATTGCACGATACACATTGGATGAATTACGTAAATTGAATATAACAGAGCTACATCCTTTAGGGTAAGCAAGCAAGTAGCTAATTTTACACACATACCTATATAGAATGGTGTATTTTTTCGTTGTAGCTCACAATTTGAAGCTGAACAAATACTTACGCTTAAAGAGTTATTGCAAATTTTGGACGAAGAACAGCGCATAACTGTATTTTTACATATTTTGGACAACAGTGTACGCATGTTAGAACAATTAAGAGCTACAATAAAATTTAACGCACAATTCACATCACGCACAATACTCATCAGTCGTTCACCATATGCCATTTACCAGGTAAAGCAATGATTGTATTGTTATTACGTTTTTATTATAGCATTTAATCTGTGCTTTAATTGCAAATCTAACAAATTTCAGTTACGTAAATCACATCCGGAATTGATATGCGGGCTTTGGACGGAGAAATCGCTTTCATTGGCACTTTTAAAGGCGTCAACACTCATCACATCGATCTATGGCGCCTTTTTTCGCAATATCATTGCGCCTGTAATCGGAATTAGTGTTGTTTTTGTTAGCAAGGAAGAATTTAATCTGTACGTTAATGCAATAAATTTAATATTATATTTTTTACAATCATATATTCATTTATTTACAGTCACATTGCTGAATTATGGCGCAACGTAGGTGTTCGCCCACTAGTATATAATGTAAATTCGCCCAACGAAAAACGCTATTTTCAGAAGACGATGAAAACCCAATATCTAACCGATTCTTTACGCTCTGAACCTCATCTCCTAATGAAAGCTTAATTCAAATGGTTGGCTTTCCGGTTTTCCATGTGTACAAGGAACTATTATTACCATAATGTTTTCTCCATATCTGCTTGAAAAGTAGTGTCCACACCGTCCCTACAATTTTATATTGCACCGATGTAAAAACATGTGTTTTTACAAATATTTTGCTGCCATCACAAATACGACACACAAATTGACATGGCATTTACATATGCGCTTATGCTTTAATACGAAACCATTCATACTTATTGCTTCTTTAATTTTATCAGAGGTAAATATTTTTAAGCCGCAGATCCCATATTTTCACTCGACGCTGTCATTTCTACATAAAGCCATCACATAAGAAGCTGTAAAGTATTGCGTACAAAATAATTTTTGAATAGAACGAACAAAATAGAACGAAAAAATTAGATAAAAACAAAATAAATATAATGAGTGCGATTAAATAGCATAATCAAAAATAAAATCTAATAAATGTAGATATGTTCCAAACTCTAAAAGTGCATTTGCGGTATTTTTTTTATATACATTTATTTTGTTTTTAATTGAAAACGAAACTTTAAAAAAGTTGTAAATTAAATTATTTAGTTTCTATTTTTTTTTATTGAAAAATTTTAGTCTGCTAACATATCTTTGTAACCGATTGTAATTTTAAGCACAATGATTATTTTCTGTGACATTTTGATAATACTAAATTCGTACAACAGCGGTGATATACTCACACTTGAAGGATGCAATTTTATTATATAAGTTTATTTATTACAAAAACTAATAATTAATTTTGTTTAGTTCTTCAAACAATTTGCATCCACTGTTTATGTGTACACAGTTTTGTAATTATCTTATTACTATATTCATGCTCATGCATATGCATTTATGTATACATTTTTTTATTGTAAATTGTATTATTTATTTTATTGTTTATTATTATTATATTTGTTATATAATTTATTTTAGTTAACTATATATATATTTTTTAATTTAATATTATTATTCAATGATTTATGCATGTTTTATTTGCGACTTTTTTGAAAAAAAAACTTTTGCGAGTGCACAAAATCAACAGAAGCTTCAATAATATTTTGCCGCAATTAAATAATTTACATACATATTGTACTTTTCATATATGTCAGTCTAGTTATACCAAAAATTTGTATGTAAGCTCAAACGTACGATAGTATGTAATTAATTATTTGTATGTATGTCCTTATATGTAAAAGAAGCTATTAAATAATAAAGATAACACAATTTTATTTACCAGTGTCGAAAAAAAAATTTGTTATTGAATTTGTTTGATTAATGTGTAACGGGAGTTACTGATGCGATTCAACATATACGGTATTAAGTCCTTTAACTTCAGGAGATTTTGTAGTTGTACAAAACAAAAATAATTCTTGAAAATATATTGGGCAATGTTTCAGTACTTCCTAGCTAAAACTACTATGGAACAATAACAATTTACTATTCACCGGACAAAGGTTTCATATATGGTAAACGCTCTTCTTCATTACTCCAGCGAATGAGACTTTTTTGCTGTGTATAAAGAAAATTTAATATGGCTGCTGGTAAGAATTTTTGCACCTTCGTCTTCCACAATCAGACCTTTTCTGTGTTTACATAACACAGTTTATAAGCTGAATACTGCGCTGATTTTAATATGAGATAAAATCAAGAAAAAACGGTAAATTCGCTTGCACCGAAGCTCTAATACCCTTCACAAATAAAAAAGTTTTCCATACAAGGACTTAATTTTTATCGAGCAGTTTGTATGACAGATATATGCTATAGTAATTCAATTTGAACAATTGCTTCGGAAAGAAAAGTTTTCAATACAAGGGTAAAAAGGACGCGTGTAAAAGCTTCAGATCGATATGTCAAAAACTGAGAAACTAGTACGCGTATATACAGATAGACTGACTCCGCTCATCATGCTGATCATTTATGTATACTATATTTTATAGGGTCTCCGATGTTTCCTTCTGAGTGTTACAAAATTCGTGGCAAACTTAACCCTTTGCACTCGAGACCTTTTTCGCTTGCGCGAACCAGCAACTCGAGACGATTTCGGCCGAATTAGGTCAACATTTTACAGGTACTTTAAAAAAAAAAAAAAAAATTTATAAACAAACTAGCGTTTACAAGTAATAAAATTTCATTAGTTTATGCGTTTAGATGCCGAAAACAATAAACTTTGATAAGTATTACACTCTGTAGTTAGTTTTGGTGTGATATCTAGAAAAACAATAGCCAAATCGTAATAACCAATCGTAAATAAAGAGATCGAGTTACAAAAGACCATAGTGCACTGCGGCGCTGCAGCAAGGCTGCTCGGGTTCATACTTAAATTGGGTCGAGCGCTGTATCGGCGTCGCTTGAGTTGACACTTCAAATTGGCTGGGCGCTGTATCGTCGCCGCTCGAGTGCAAAGGGTTAATATACCATGTTCAGGGTATTATTATAGCATCTAGAGACAGACAGAGTGGCCCGTAAGAGTAGCTCGTGGAACGCTCGGTTTGAAAATCACAACTAATTGCTTTTCGTAAAAGTAATTGCCAAACGAGCTTTTTCAAGGTCAGGGTGTTATTAAGTATTACTGCAGGAATATGTGTATTTTACACACAATAAAATTTAGTTTGAGAACGTTTTTTCAGTAAATATCCGATATAAAAATAATGCGGTTTTGTTCAGTGAGAGACCTTATGGAGTTTGATTCTC